GAGGGATATGAACCTTATGCTCCCAAGTTGTGATCCAGATTCTATCCCTTGGATGTGATTTATGAGACTGTTGCAAGGCACGCCAGAGTCTCGTCGGAGAGGAAGCAGTCCTTTACCCATTGCACTACCTTTGCCCTTGAGACTGGATCCAAGTCCATAGCCATTGCATAAGCCTTCATTTCCAGATTGGCAACTTGGCGCTTTGTTTTGCAAACTGTCAACATGGATAAATGCTACGACTTCATGTGCTTCTATTTATACTCTTGTTGCAGTAACAGCAGATCGATATTTGGCGATTTGCCATACGCTGAAGTGGGTTTAACCTGTCGCCTCGAATTCATGGTTATTACGCCCCTCAGGATTACACAGGCCCTATTTCAGGTACACATTATGGGAAGCCGCTACACGTTATACGTGATTGCTGGCATTTGGATTGTGAGCGGATCTTGGCAACTCCGAGTCTGTATGGCTATGATGAGGTGAGCTCAAAAGGTCCACGTCAGACTAGGTCCATGTCTACTGAAGAGAGATATTGGCTGGATCTCATCCAGTAAAGGGGTGGACATGTAGTGTGACAGTTCTTAGTTGAACCCGCACGCGCATGCAACATCCTCTCGCTAAGGTTTTACACCCACCCCAGAGCGTCCCCTTGAAAAAAAAAGGTGGATTTCTTCATGCAGTATGAACTGTTGCACCAAATGTTCCCCCTTACTGGATGAGACCCGGGATATCTATCATAAATTTGATTCATTACTGATTCACCTTACATTGCGTTGCCACTAAATTTACTAACTTTTACTATGAGAGCAATTCATACTCGAATGTCGTGATTATTGCTCTACGTAGTTTGCGTTCGTTGTCATTGCTATCACCATCAGTATATCGTCAATTACTCTTTGATGATTATCCCCCCCCCCCCTTAAATTTCTAAGTTCATATGTTTCACTCAGATCCATCTACTGATTTTTTCGCTTGTTACACTCCGGCAATTGCGTTGCTATATCAGCTTGTAAATATGAAAGTGGTAAAGTTTCTGAGCATGCCGCGAATTATGAACCTCCCGGAAAAAGTGCTTCTAAAAGTTCGAGGTCAGACTTGCGAATCGCGCGATTCGCTACTAGCGATTCGCGCGATTCGCTAGCGTCCGCGGTCGCGTTGCGGTACCAGCCAATTGAGTGATTCACTGGCCGCGACGCGACCGCAGACGCTAGCGAATCGCGCGATTCGCAAAGTCTGACATCGGCTCGGCGTTGCGATACACTACCAGGATATACTAGCTTTTACTTTCTCATGTTGTTTATATCACGCTTGACCCTGCTTGCAACAGCCTTCGAGGGTTGCTAGTAGCCATGCCCACCGGATGCTTCGTTGCGTGGTGTTCGGTCCTAAAGACAGCGATTACTATAGGAAGTTAAGGTTCGAGGGTGGTGGTGCTCGATGGTACGTCGGTAGCGAAGAAGCGAAGAAATCCGTAAAAAGAACAAGGAATCCCCCATCCCCTTTCTGGCCGTTGGTTTTCACTCATGAACAGGTGACAGCTTAGAAAGTGGGCCTCTGAACGAGTTCAGCACAACGCGTTCGGTAACACCTTGCCAAACCACAGTCCAACTGAGTTGTCCCAGTTCTGCTGGCAACTGGCTCGTCCAAATTACCAAGTGGACTGTGGACGGATCGCTTTTGGGTGCGGAGTGTTTTCGAAGACCTCGTCGTCATGAAAGCGCTACACCTTGCATTCCTGGCAGCCAAGAAACTGATTCAGGTGTTGCGTATGCTTCCTGCTCCCACTTTGTCGTAATCACAGCCTTCAAAATAATGATGGGCGCTCTTTCATCAGCCACCAAACGGACATGATTTCCTGTTCCAGCAATTCCAGATTGTTTTAGACCAAATGCAACGCTGAGCTGATCATGAATCAACAACTCCAGATCAATTCGGTGGGGTAACACCGGTTACGAAAATGTAGATGCAGAACTGACTGAAAGTGAAAAAAAACCAAAGCAAACCGCCTATGAAGCCATCAACAAGCGCTCTCTCCCCCCCCCCTTGATGCGGGTGAGGGACGCGTCCGGAAGAGTAGTATCAACTTGCCTGGTTCGTAGCTTCGCTATCAGCCTGTATTTCAACTTTGAACCACGTCACAACCCCTGCGTGTCACAGGGTGTGCGTGAGGTATCTCGTCCATTACTCACTTTCATTTGCCATCGCATCACTTTGTAAGGCCCTAGCGCCATTGTTGCGCACTTTCGACTCGTGACAACGGGGAAATGTGCGGTAGTGTGTGATTCTCTATACCCACAGAATGAATTCTTTGATACGACCTCATCTGGGGTTATTGCGAATCATTTATTGTGGACATAGTGGTTAGCCTTTGTGTGGCGGGCGTGGATATCATTAACGTCCGGCCACTGTTCTGTTACTCTGTCTCCGGTTCAATCAATTTCCGTTTAACAGATATACTGTACGAGTTACGCGATGCAACAACACCGTGTGTGTCTGCGGCTTCCGAAGAGAACGAAAAGCTGCATTCGTGGTGGTGAGCTGATTCTCCGCCTATCATCGTTCCCATTTATGCTCATCTCTGTATCGTATACGAAAATCTTCTACACGGTATCGAATCATCGAAGTCTCGCCGTTGATGCTCATGTTAGTGTTACTTGAAACTTGGCAGGAATCCAGAGCACCTTCTGCTATTCGGACATGAGTGCTCTGATTAGCGAACCTTTGATACTGTTGAAAACTCTGAAAACAAACAAGGTGCTAGCAATAGCTCTTTTTGGGCGATCTATGGAATTTTGTTGTTTCGATAGCACTTTGTGCTTGTGGAAATCAAGAGCTGCAGTAGGGTGCAGATGCTGGCAGAATCTCGCGATCTAAAATACGTTTTCGCTTTGAATCAATTTCATTTATGTAGTGTCTCTTCACAGCAGTTTTTCTATGAATATAAGGAAGATTACATACTTTATTTACTCTTTTTTGTTTGAATCATTGGATATCATCGGATAAGCGTTCCCAATTTTGTTGGCGAAACAAAGGATATAATGGAAAAATGGAAAGGACTATTCAAGAAGGCCCTCTATAGTGTATCTCACCAATCAGGGGTAACGTTAGTTAGCTCAATTTCAAGAAGCCCACCCTCCTCTTAGTGAGTCTCGACACAATCCCCCATCTTCCGCTAGGGTTACTGTCCGGGCATAAACGAGCCGGCGCAATCTGCACGCGGCTATGTCGTGTGCTTTGCATTGTCGAGCACGATCCTTCTCGTAGTGCCGAAACAGTCACGAGAGTTGCCTATCAAATACTTGACCCAATTTCAAAAGTGATCGAGTTAAAAATAGGCCAGTTGATCCTTTTTGCAGATCAATTTTTGGAAACATGCGAGTTCTTGAGCTTTGAATTATCTCAAACCCAACTAGCATATAAAACTACGAGCTTAGAGTTCTTGGGGAATCAAATTTGATCAGGTCCAAAATAGCCCCTTAGTCGTTTCTTTCACACGACTTCTTCGGCTGTTCTACTGAAAGTGCGAGTTTTTAGCATCCAATTGGTTACAACTTCAAATTAATGCTGTAGGAAAACTAAGAACCTCTTGGAGGCAATGTTTCTGTTTCTAAAAGTAAAACATCCATAGACTTCATTTCATACAGTTGACCTTATATTGCAATGCCTCTACCCTTTTCCCCACGGGTTTTCCTGCCTCTTTAGAGACATGTTTACACTCAAAAGTTCCCAGCGACAGAACATAAATGATCCTACTACTATATATAAGCGGCTAGCGTGTGTCTGTTGGTGTGTGTGTATGTTTGACCGGAAATTCATAGCTCGAGTCACAGTAACGATAGCGCAGTGGTTCTTACATATGTTATAGGGGGTGGGATGGGGACACAAGTGGTACGTGATAGGAACTGATAACGACTGATAATAGCTGATAAGAGGGGCTAGAAAGCGAGCATCGCCAATTTCGTTTTGCCGTTCATATTGGTAAAGAGCGTCTATACTTACAAGTTTATGTGGGGCGGTCCCGGGACATTGGTGGTACATGATTGGAAGCGATAGCAACTGATAATGGCTGATAAGATGCGCTAGAACGCAAAAGTCGTCGATTCCGTTGCCTGGCTCGCGTTGACACCAGAGCAACCATACTTACAAGTGTTATGTGGGGTGGGACGGGGACATTGTTGGTGGGTGCCAGAAACTGATAACGATTGATAAGGGCCGATAAGGCGCGCCAGAACGCTGAAGTCGTCGATTCCGTTGCCTGGCTCGCGTTGACACCAGAGCAACCATACTTACAAGTGTTATGTGGGGTGGGACGGGGACATTGTTGGTGGGTGCCAGAAACTGATAACGATTGATAAGGGCCGATAAGGTGCGCCAGAACGCTGAAGTCGTCAATTCCGTTACGCAGCGTTGACACTAGAGCGTTCCTATTTACAAATTGTAGTACGTGCACATTGTTTCGATATAACCAGCTTACTTAATAGAATTCGACTGCATAAACCTAAACAAGTCTTCAGCAAATGATAAGTTTCATTTCTGATGCACTATTAAGAAAACCCAAACTCATTAAACCGCTAATCCTTTCGGGTTCTAAATAATGGTGAATGTAAATGAATGATAAGCATTAGCTCCTCACTTATGTAAATAGGCAATCTATTGACAGAAATCCTATTCACCGCTAAATTATCTTAATTCAAGAAAAATGCTGGATGTTTACAGAGTGATCAATATACCAGTTCAGCTCAGACGTTATCACGCGTATTCTCGATGAGCTTCAGTGAAACTGTGGAGGGTCTAACACAGTCAATAGTGAGATGGTTAATGGAGTATCTCATGCTGATATTCCATGGGTCCTCCAGTTTCGCTAAAGCCTGCCGTGTGATGCGCGCGATAGCGGGCGAAGCAAAACTGGTATTTTAATAAGTATACTCGAGAAATCGAGAACTGCATATAGCATTAAGAGGTGGGTGTCCATGTCCATTTCCAATTCAAAACGAGGTGCAGGAAGTAGAAGTGTTAATGGTTAGGTACGTATAGTTCTTCACAGACCCTAGCGCAACATTCGCTGGCCCAAGTATCTTGATGTTGCAGGTTGTATCGCTCTTGGATTTGATACAGTGAAGGAATTTTCATTGCCTCCCAACTCGTTTGATTAGTTTAGGGGAATTCCGTTAGAGTTATAGTTATAGTTATAAAGCGGTTCCGCTACCTCATCTTTTGTGTAGCAAGTTTTGTGAAGTGTCAACAACTTACAATCGACGTTCAGATTCGAGATGAACGAATCAAGCTTCGTGTGGCGACGATGATGTTGACTGTCATCGTGGTGTTCGCATTGTGTTGGCTGCCCTTATACGGTAAGTGGACATTTTAGATTTTAAAGAAAAACTCGACGTCTGCGTAACTTTCAGCACCTTCTTCTAGGTCTCGAGTTTCGTTATTTTTATTAGAACTAGTCTTATGGGATCACCACAAACCATTAATGTCCACAAGGACGCGCCGACGCGCAAAGCAATTTGATAATGCCATAGGGGCAAAAAGCGGCTCCAAGGCGGTGAGGGGTTGGCCCAGAAATTCTGGCTTAGGGCACAAAAGAACAAGTACCTAATTACATAAGGTGCCTTGCATAGTACGGTGGATGGAGCGGGAGCTTCCAGCCATCGCTGACGTCTTTTTTCTTTCTTTTGAAATGACTTCGTACAGGCTGCATAGTAGTCGAATAAAATTTTTATCTTATCAATCTATAAAATTAATTTCCGTATTTTATTCTACTCCCATATTCCACATCCCATATTCAGATCACACAAACGTAGAAATGGAGTTCGAATAGTAGAGGAAGAGAAACAATAGCTTCATTATATAAACCAGAACTTTGGTGTGTCGGTTTGTCGGTGTGTGTCGTTCTGTCCGTCCGGACCAACCGCTCACAAAACCAGGGAGTACGAAGGGCAACACTTCGTGATGTTGATTCATGATCATGATAACACCCACAGCGGGTATATAAACACCTATCGAACACAACTCACTCACCCTTCTACATGGTGCTGCCGTGGCAGGCTGAGAGGAGGGTAGAAGGAGGAGGGGGTAGGGGAGGAAAGAGAAAGGGCAGAATGGAGGGAAGAAGGGATGGCAGGAGGAGGGAAAAAGGGAGAGAGTGCACCGCTTTCAAGATTACGGTTCGATCCGGTGTTGAGGTATTATTGCAACGTGATTGTGATAATACCCAACGGCTATATAAACACCTACTTAGTAGTACACTTTCAGTCATTTCACAAGGTGCTGCAGTGGCAGCTGGAGAGCAGTGGGGGAGGAGGGGAGGATGAGGTGGAAGGATCGCCAAGCTTCGCAGGGAAGGGAGGGTTCCGGCGGTTGCCGGGGGACCAATCTGGTAAGTAGATAAACAGGTCGAGGGATCGAATAAAAATCCAATAAAACCAGTTCCCCATGCAGATGTTC